CAATAAAATTGGCTTTTTAAACTTTGGATCGGCATTTTGCACGACCAATTTCCGGTAATATACTGTAGGGGTGTGTACATAATCTTATCGAGTTTAATATTTTAAGGTACATTCAACTCTCTAAACGCACACGCTATGTTTCTATTCTTTAAATGCACTCATTGGTTCGGTCCCAAGTTAATAATATTATTAAGTAAAATGCTCTATAAATGCACAAACTCTCTAAATAAACTTTCAGGTTTGATCTTCATGTCTTCCGGCGGCGTGCATTTAGAGCGAGTTCGCCAAAAAAACGAAATGTTTTTATATACATTTTATACTTTGATCCTTCTATAATAAATTGCTTCAGCATTTCTTCATATTCGTGATTATCAACACCCAACTCCCATTTCAATGCGACCTGTAAAGATTTGAATGCTTCTGCAACAGATTCGAGCATCTAGTCAAATACAACCAATTAGCATTATAATCGAACCAATGAAATATTTATATGGTTTACCTTTATTCCATGTATTCCATGTGATTTCTTGTGCAATTTTCCAAGTGGAGTTATCGTTTCAAGACTCACTATTGATCTGAATTTATTTGTGTCTGCCATAATTTTTGGTATTTGTAAATGAATTTTGGGATTTATTTCGTTTGAACTCATATACTGCTGCACTATTAATATCAAAATAATAATTAATAATACACTACTATATATATACATTTTAAGTACTATTATATTAAAGTGTTTGAATTATAAAACATACGCACCAACATCACTGAATTTTTTAGCGATAGGACCAGGATTACAAATCATTGGCTTGACTTCCTGTTAATCAAAAAATCAGCGATTGATTTTATGAAATGTGCGTCGATTTTTAAAAATGCTATTTACCATCAATTCTATCCATCCGCCTGTTTTTGTAACTCTGAGGAAATTATCTATTAAATTTATCCATTGGTTTTGTGTAAATGCTTGCCATAAAAATCGCTGATATACGAAATCAAAAGTTTCACTGTTATAAAAAAAAAATACAGTACACGATAATTAAAAGCCATTTTTTCGTATTAAATTTTCAATTTATATAATAACTTTACTTTGGAAATGGTAGCCCATTTAATAAATTGAATTGAAGAAACTCAGCATTTGAGGGTCGTATATCGACTGTTGCCACTTCAATTAGATCGACACCCACAAATGTTGATGCAGGATATTCGTTAGCCATGTCGAGAGTCCAACTACCTACTCCGCAACTATCCAATTGTGTTAATTAATAGTCTAAAGATAGCAAAAAAGAAAGAAATTAATTAACTCACCCAGAATCAAGGACTCGCATTCCTTGCTTTAACTTTTCATGTATTGGAGACGAGAAATTACCATTCCACACCTCTTTAAATAAATAATGTTGCATATGAAGGCGCTTTTTTTCTAGAGCATCACAAGGCATAGGATATCGTTTATTATCCACCTGAAAAACGCGCCCATCAATTGTTTGATAAGTTTGGAGAACTTCAAAGCCATCGCATTCACTTCCCCTTCTAAAGCTAATCGGTCTATTGCTGAATGAACTTTGCGGGGTTTGTCTTTCTCTTTTTTTAGGTATAGAAATATGATGACCCATCTTCTTAATTTATGTAATGAAATCACACAATAAAATTTATTTTTTTTTCGAACCAACTAAAAGACTTGGGAGTGAAGCTTCGTCCACTTTTTATCTTTTTCACAGATATATCAATATTAAAGATAGAGCTGCGATAGGTTGCAACATATTTCATTTGCAGTTTTCTATCTTTAGTCAATATATAATATCGATATTAATAGATGTTGATGCAAAAGAAGTTCCTTTTTATCCTTATCGTTATGTAATATGTATTAACGTAAGCCGCATTATTATCATTATTTTGCATGCATGTAATTTATAAATTAGGAAAAGAATATTTTTATGTGAAACCTGGCAAATGCTAAATAGATACATGTACATGTAAATAGCTAAGACACCAAGAAATGGAATGAATGATTATTCTCGTAATTTTTAATTCCGCGATTTCCATGATTGGTTAATATTTAAATACATAACGACAAGTATCCGAACGCCAGGCCCAAAATTATACTATTAACGATCACCTGATCGCTTGTATATTTATAGTTTCTATATAGGGTATTTTATGTTCATGCCCCAAATACAATCAATCTCGACGTCCAGCGACCATTCGCTTTGTCTAATCTAGGCGAATCAAATGGTGATATTTTCGCTCAAATTGGGTCATCAACAGATTCATATTTGTCGATCAATTTTCATTAGAAATGATCGCCAAAAAATGAATCAGACGTAATATCTCGACCTCCAGTGATCCAATTCGAACAGAAATACAGTGGCTCACACATGTAACGGAACACGAAAATTAACTTTCTAGTATTTTTATTTCTATGACTATTAGTTCGAACAAAATAAAAGAGTGTTCATTTGAAACCTTTAAACCATTAATATTCTTTAAAACTAATTTGACAACAGAATATTTGTGAAATAAAGTGATTTAAATCAAAATTTACAATTAGTAAATTTCTCACATTGAAGAATTTTTTTTGTATGACGGATTCAATTTGGACCACTAATTAAAAATGTTCTACTCTATGCAATCTACCTATTTACCAATTTTCATAAAAATTGGCTTAATTTTTACATTTAAGATCATAAAGACCGAATCTTCGATCATTCGGGTGAAATTTTTATGAAAATCGGTAAATAGGTAGACTTTATAGAGTAGAGTATTTTAATTAGTGGACTAAATTTGAATTCATCATAGAAAAAATTCTTCAATGTGAGAAACTTACTAACTGTAAATTTTGATTTAAATCACTTTATTTCACAAATATTCTGTTGTCAAATTAGTTTAAAGAATATTAATGGTTTAAAGGTTTCAAATGAACACTCTTTTATTTTGTTCGAACTAATAGTCATAGAAATAAAAATACTAGAAAGTTAATTTTCGTGTTCCGTTACATGTGTGAGCCACTGTATATTATGAAGTGACTGATTGTATTTGGGGCATGAAAGATTATGAACATACAATATGATATAGAATTCTATCAATTATAAATGTACAAGCGATAAGGTGTCGTATTACATTTTATGCCCAGAAAATTTGGGTGATCGTTATAATTTTATGGAATGCTGGGCGTTCGGATACTTATAGTCGCTACTGTATTATGTAAAAGTCTTTATTCTGGGAGATAAAAAAAGAACGTTATGTTCAGGCTAAAAATTGCCGAAATAATGTTAAAATAAAAGTAACGCAAGACTCTGAAATAAGGATTCTTCATTTGAAACATTATTAAATACTTCGTTGCTTTTGACGTTTATCACTAACCTTCCCGTAACAAACAAGAGAAATTGTTTGTTGCAGCGTTGCACAAAATTTTATCCTACGATAGGTTTCTTTTAGCATAACAGGGCATATTACTGTTTCACAACGTTGTCTGTATGAATATTTTTAATGCTTAACGTTAACGTTGATGATAATTACGTACATGTATTTGTACTTCCGATTTTAGAATCGATATAACATCTCAAGACATAGCAAGAGAATACTGCACATATGGAATTGGAAATTTATTCATTTCTGTACACAAAAATATAGTTTCAATGTCTGTTCTAGTACGGAATGCAGCATTCAAAGGGATTTTTATCCCTTTAATGTATGCATCACAATAGAGAGCTGTTGACTTTGTTGGATCAGTTTTATTTCTTATGGTGCATAACATCTAAAGTCATCAAACGTTTGTATTTTATAAAATGTATAAACTTCTTTGCCAAGACGTAAATACAAAATTTAATCCGTGAATATGCTCAGAAAGGGGCTATTCTATCATATTCACAGATTAAATTTTGTATTTACTTCTTAGTAAAGAAGTTTATCCATTTTATAAAATACAAACGTTCGATGACTTTAGATGTTATGCACCATACACCTTCTAAGTTTGGTACTAGACCAAGTATTCCAACTGAGATATCTGTTTGCGTCAATAAATTAGTTTTTATTATCAGTTTGTAATAAAACTGCCTGTCAAAACTATATTAATAAACCTGCTAGAATTCAAAATTATATTAAAAACTTGTCAAAAGTCGAAACTATATTAAAATTGATTAATGAACCCATCGAAACATAGAATTTCTACATTTGGCATTAGCTAAGTTATAAAATAAATTACGATAAATACGACTTGATTTTTACTTTAAGTAAGATTCTTAATATATTTCGTCATTATCAAATAGAAAGTCATTTTTTATAAATATTTTAAATTGACAATATACAGTCCACACGGAAAGTAATGGCGGTTAGATTTTCTCAAAAATAAATACATTCCATAAATAAATTTATTGATTTTTTTTAAGTAGAACATGTCTACCAAATGTTAGTATTTGGTATGTCCTCTTCCATGTCAATAGATGCTTGAACACAATCCAGCATACCACTGATACTGGTAAGAACTATCTCTGCAGGAAAACTCCTTTATTCATTCCTCTTCATTAATCCATTTTTATCATTATTTTAACTCCCTTTCTCATGTTCTGCTTGAGAGAGCCTGGATATTTTCTAAGAAATGAAATTCAGATTATATAAAAACTATAGTAAATGCATTTCAGCTATGTGCCACAGATTTTTATGAAAGTTTTTCAAAAAGAGACTTTACATAGATAGGGTGAGTCAATAGAAACCAAGCAAATTATATATGTATTACGTATATAATTGGCTTGATTTTATTGACTTACCCAGATGATTAAAAAGTAAATATTTGGAATTCAACTATTTTTATAAAGAAATATAGAAGAATATTAGTTGTTCAAAGAATTGCAGTAAAAGTTCTTAGTGACTCAACCCTTTGGTTTTAAATGGTTAAAAACGTGATATAGCAAGATCCAAGGCATATATGACCAGCAAAATATATAGGGCGAAAGTACAGATTTGTGGATGACTTAACAAATCTTAGCAGGAACTATATGGCCATAAATTCGTGAAGAAATGTCACCGTATTACTTTCCGTGCGGACTGTACATAGTTAACCTCCTCGTTAAACCGAAGCTCTAATTGGTTCCAGAGTGTTATAGTAAGCTCGTCTCAATCAATAGGAGTTGGTCCAGGAATAGTTATAGCAAATTTGCCTCGATAAACCGAATTTACTTAATAGACATCGTCCCACACGCCTATCTATGTAACAAATTCTCATTTTTGCTCTTGTACCCATTAGTCTCACCCGTATTATACGTCATCGTGGTCCGTATAAGCGTGTTGAACGACACTCTCAAATCCGTTAACAATGCTGAGCGCTGTGGCAAGCGCCTGCCTTTTATTCAATGAGCTTTAGACAAATAAATATTCGTCTAAAATTGTCTGATTGTCTGAAAATAACATACGTAGTTATACAAAATTCAATTTATTTATATGTATTGTTGTCAATAAAAATTTTTTATTAAAAAACTTGTTTTATTGGTTTGAATAATAATAGCGATAGCTATTTTTTATCGTTATACTATATGTCAAATGACGGATTTTTTAATAAGATCGCGTGATTTATAAGTAGAATGATATTGAAAATGTCTAAAACTCTGTCTAAAACAATAGACAAACACGCTATCACTATTGTAGTCATTCCAAACTGAATAAAAATAGGAATCGGTGTTGTTCTTCAAAAGTGCTTAGCAATAAAACATGTATTGTCATCGTTGTCATGGTCACTGTATTTAAAAATCGATTAATCAATATTCGAGTACTTTAAGTGACTTTTTGATAATATACATATGAACAAAAATGTTTTTAGCTCAATTCTATTTGATTAAATCAGACTGAATAAAATTGAGTGATGATAGTAAATAGCAAAATCGATATCATACTTTATCTACGTATTTACAAATACGTATGATGAGAAATCCAAGATTTTTGCTTTTTTTTGTTTATCTTTCTCTTCCTTGTTAAATACCACACAAATGCTTTTTCTCCTCTTTCTATTTTCTATTTCAAATAACATTCAAACACTTTTTTATACATGTAAAGGGAAATCCGCTATCGCTAGTTTCTTTGAAAGGATTGTTATACACATCAGTATGTTGTGTTACCTAATTTTAAAGTTACGATACCGATACACAGTGACTCTCATCTGCGTTAACGTTAAGCCGTATTTGACTTATTTAATGTACATATCTCAATTAGCCGGATATCTCGATAAACCAGTTAAAATTTTCTTTTCCAATATGATACGTACATGTATTATCCGATTAACGTTAAAAGCTATCTGACGTCAAATTACATGTACATGTACATTGAACTAATACGTATTACCAACTCTAACGCTAAAGGCATTTTGTATTTTTCTTGTATTGGTTAACGAGCCAAAATGATGGTGATGTAATCCCATTTAAACCCTTGAAAAGAAAATCTGCAAGCAGACAAATACAATTGTATATTGCTCATTGTATGTAAATTCTTGCCTTTTTCAGTCATATGCAGTTTTGGCGTTTTTCTGTAATTAGAATACGTATTCTGTAACATCGAGGAACTATTTAAGGCAGGCACGAGATTTGGAGAATTTTCCGTGACATCAAAGAACTATTTAAGGCACGAGATTTGAAAAATGAAGAGTTGGCAAACAGTCAATTTAAATTTAAATTTAAATTTAAAAAATAAACAATATCATAGAAAGGTAGAAAGTATAAAAAATGAATAGTCAAAATGGTGAACATGATGATAAGATTACGACTCCAGAAGTTCTTACAAGTAATTAAAATATCATTTGACAGTTTAATTTACGAATTAAATTTTTTTTGATACTATTTTAAAGAAACTGACTCAATAACGATAACATAAACGATTAAATTTCAAAAGTGCCACTTAAAACGCAGCCAAATTTCAGACGAATAGCACGTGACCATGCCATTCGTGCAATTGCGAAATTCAAATCGTTAGAGAGTGACAATATTAGTTTGAAAGCGCAGCCGCAATATGATACTTCAGAGTCGCAATTCACTGTTAAAACTTTGAATACATCTGGAAAAGGTGGAAAAATTGGATTAATTGATTATCAAAGTGATTCGGAGGTACGTTTTTAAGATTTGTTTTTCTTCAGTCATATTATCGTGAATTAATAATAATTGTAAATATCTGTAAAAGTGGTATGGTGAGATATATCTTGGCACTCCTCGTAAGTAAACCTATAATTTATATTGACCATTAGTGTATACAAAATTACAAAAGTAATTGGTTATTTTTTCAATCAGCACAAGTATTTAACGTTGTATTCGACACTGGATCATCAGACATGTGGGTCTTTGGACCAGATGCAAACTTGGAACATCGTGACGGCAGTGGAACCTACCCACACCACATATACGATTACACCAAATCGTCCTCATATAAATACGACGGTCGCGGATGGAACATAACTTATGGGGATAGCGGAAAGGTCGGTGGTTATTTGGCGAGAGAATTAGTGTTAATTGGTGGAATCCGCGTTCCTGGGCAATTATTTGGTGTCGTGCTGCAAACTACAGAACTTTATGCGTCGGATATAATCGATGGGTTGGTTGGTCTTGGCTTCAAATCCAACACTGCTGTCAAAGGAATTAAGCCATTGTTTGATAATATGATTGATAGAAATGTGCTTCAAAGAAATTTATTCTCGGTAGCGTATGTTAAAGAAGCAGACGGAAATCCAGGTGGTGGTGAAATTTGCTTTGGAAGAATAAATCCTGAATATTACACTGGTGAAATTTTATATTTACTAGCAACGCAACCATCCTCCTATTGGGAAGTTAGAGTTGATAATGTACATGTAGGCAATAATGCGCCATTAAATAAGTCAGGAAAATTAATTATTGACACAGGCAGCTCTATAATGTTAATGCCAAGTTCTGTTACTGCTGCAATCTATGCACAAATTCCTGGATCATTATATGATTCAGACTATGGTGGATGGTTGCTACCTATTGACTCCGATCCGTCTATATCTGTTTATTTCGTGTTTTCTGGTAGAGAATTTGCTGTTCCGGTTAGTGATTTGATATGGGATCCAATTCCGGATACGAATTTAGCTGGTGGTGGGATTCAAATTCAGCCGGGGACTTATTGGATTTTTGGTGGCATTTTTATAAAGTAAGTCGATCAAATTTTTATATCGGTATGCTTTTTGAATATGTATCAATTATCGTTATGTTACTTTGTTGGATTTAGAAACGTCTATCTGATCTTCGACCGTTCAGACTCGGAATCACCAAAAGTTGGCATCGCAACACGTGCATAAATTGATATCTCATAACCTAAACGACTATCATTTTTTTCTATATATATCATACACAATTCATTATTTATTAGCAATAGTCATTATTAGAATCCTTTTATAAATTATTAACGTTAACTTGAAAACCAAATAAATTCGGTTTTTTGAATATATTGTACGAAATCTATATAAAACAATTCGAGATTATCGTTACTGTATGCGTACTGTTGCGTGGTTCTATTTTAATCGGTCAAAGAGGGGTTTTACACAACTGGGATGAGAGCTAGACTGAATTATTTACGAGTAAAGGGTTTCTTTGGGTGTTCTAAAGGCTTCCCGTTAAAAAAAGGTAAGGGGCGAAAACAATAGTATAATAAAAAAGGGAATAATCCAAAAATCAATTTAATTAATATAACACAATAGGACTTATTGGT